AGTGGCCCAATTAACTTGTCCGGTGGCTGAGCGCCTTTCGTCTCAAGTTGCCGATGGTGGTTCCATGCTGCAAGACCATTACATGTACACGTATGCATAGCGGCACAGGTTGCATCTTGGCCTATTAGCGTCCGTTCTATTACGCAATGCAACTTCAAGGGTCGTGGTGGAAATCCACAGCAGGTACTTTTCCTCCCTCAGTTTCCGTGACCTATCTGTCAATATCGAGTCCCGCGATATGCGGTTGTGTTTGAGCATTATGCCACACCACTTGGAACGAAAATACAGGAACTTGCCGTGCTATTATTCTATAGTCGCAGGTCACCCAGGCCAGGCCAGCCCGCTACTCGCGGCTATCCAGGAAGAGAAGTGATCAACCTGTTGGTCAATAGGCGGCGAGGATGCCCGTGTTGTGTTGTGATAGGTCACATGCGCCGTGCCGTATGCTGCAGTTCAGTGTGTGCCTCGCCCCCAAAGACGAGTGGGAGCCTTACTGAGTGTGGTCAGATGTTCAGTCGGAGGCTCGGAGGTGCCAAAATGTGCATGTGGGGATGCAGCATTCATCGTGTCGAGTCATCGCAGTCGTCAATATCGAACTTCAAGTTCCATGCACGTTTGACACTAAGATTTTGACGCGCTTTGTCTCCTCTTTAACCTCAACCTTAGCAAAGTCCGCGCACTCTTGGCGACACAACTCATCAGAAAGCACCGCAGGGACTGCTGGTTTCAAACCCTACGGATCCGTACAGTCCAGACCTAGGTACACCGGCCGCCACATTCAACGCCCTTTAAAGACTTCCACGAGATGCCAATCCACCAACAAGCGTATGCCACATTGCCCATAGGACCCCTGTGTGACTAAAGAGGATATGAAGGTGTTGCGGTCTGCATGCCCGTCAGTTCGGAGGCCGTGTAGAAGACAGTGTGTACATGTAGCTAGCAAAGACAAGCAAGCACCGGGCGAGAGGTGAAAAGGCCCGAAGCCTCTACAGATGACTGAGAGCCTGGAGACTGAGAGTCGGAGAATCACATCACCATCAGCACTGAATAAGACGTGCTCAGCGTGGAAACGGTCAGTCATCAGAATTGAGCGAGCACTGGCTACTGAGCAGTATAAGTTACCGGTGTATTTAGACATACAAACACCACCGTCACGCCACGTTGTGATAATTGGCCGCCATTCCCAATGATTCCTCCAATCATCAAGGGTTGATACCATCAGCTGCAAGCCGCTGCATTGTCTTTCACCACAGGAACTTCTTGATGGGCTGCCTTGGGATGCTGCATATGCATCTGTGTGATTTTCACATGCAGTTGCCTATTGAATCAACGTTGCGTCAAATGCGAAGTGAGGCAGTGCAGGCAAGCTCGCATTTTTCTCGGGATACTTTTCTGTCGCTTCCCGTGGAGCCACGACTCCCGCAAGGGCCGCAACGTCTGGAGGACACCGCGCCACATTCGTCCATTTCCTCAAAGAGCGACCCAGATCCAGGTGATATCATGGGGTGAGACTGACGGTTCCAAAGTGTTTCCTAACATGAAATTGGCGCACAATTACCAACCTACCTAGGTACCTAACCATCGACGCTTCATCGCACCAAAATCATTGCGTATCAGCCTCAATCTCAAACAGCTGTTCCAATCGGTTTGACAATGCCTCGCGAACAAACCCGTTCACCGCGGTCGGGCCAGGGATCCTCCGGGCCTCAGACAGTCCGGGACACCACACCCCAGCCCGGGTTTGACCTGTCAGACCTCTTCCAGCCCGGGCAGGAAGCCTTCTTCGACAAGAGCGTTGCCGAAAGCCACCTCGCTACAATAATTGCCCAGGAGATTGACAGGGAAAGGTACGATGTCATGTCTCAGTTATTGCTGTGGCCGAGGCCGCTTCCTCATATATATATCTATGTTCCATCTTACCCTGTGCTGCCATAAGCACGCGCACATGCGTCGACCGGGATATCCAGCATGTCATGGCTAACGAGATTCAAGAACCGAACGCATGACCGATGACAGATTCGATAATGCCGAGTACATCACTTCGAAAATCGTCAAGACTGGCCCCGTGTTCGATCGACATCATGGCAAAGGATCATCGACGACCCGCAGCGCTGTCGGTTATCTTCGCAATCACGGTGTCCACCACGACATCGATGATGATGACAACGAAAAAGAAAATTTTTTGAGTCAGCCGTTCCTTCAAGTGCTGGCCGTAGTCTGTTTCCTTTCGGCTTCCCGGGATGAATTCGACCTGCGGGAGGGTTATCTGAACGCAGTTCGTGCCCTGAACACTCTGGCACTGTTGATCGACAAACTGCGTGAAGAGAATGACCGAGAGACTGACCAAGTTCGGGCCATCCCCATTCGCATTCTCGAAATGATGTGGGATATTGGCATATTTTTAGTCGGCACTGTCCACACTCGTGCTAGGCTGCTCGGAGGAAACCATACGGCCTTGGATGATGCTAACATCATCCACGCTTTCCACTATCGAAAGGCGGTAAACACGGCCCTGGACAAGAATCGAGGCGTTGGAAAAGTGTGTCAAAGGGCTCTGTTTATCCTGACGAGAGAAGCCGTATCCCCTTTCGTTCAACCAATGAAGCTCATCCAAAGCCTGAATGGCCTAGACCTTGACAAGTTTCACCTAGACTGCACTCAGGACGAGTGCAAGCGAGACACCGACGGCACCAACCCTCCCCGTTACCACGTCCCGTCCTGCGACCAAAACTGCGGCTTCCGGACCCCTCCAACCAAATCAATTCTCGAATTTGACTACCTTTTAGAAACACTGGGAGAGATGCCAGCCATCAACGTTGATACGACGTCGGACAAGAATTGGTGGGTTGCGACAACCAAAAACACCCTAGCTATCAGCCATGTCTGGCGGGATGGTATATTTGGCACCCGAGACGACCCAGGGCTTCCCAACTGTCTGCACAACTACTTTGTCGAGCTCGCCAAGGCCAACGATCTCAACAGCTACTGGATTGACGCTGCCACCATTCCCAAGCACTCCAAACAGCGCAAGCTCATGATTAAGATGATCAACTACACGTTCCGAGAATCCAGGTTCAGTCTGTGCTGCGACAACCGCGTGGCTAGGGTCACAGATCTGGAAAAGGACAACGGGACTGCGCTTCTGGTCATCATGACAGCATATTGGCATCGCAGGGCCTGGACTCTTCTGGAAGGGCACAAAGCAACTGACATTCGCTTTTTGAGGGAGGGCGACATGTCAAACCCCTTCCAGGTCAAGGCGGCCATCCTGGAAGTTCTCGCTTATACTTCTACCGCACCGATGTGGCTGCTCTCAAGCATTGCGGAGCTCGAGCCCTACATGGTTGAGGGTTTGACGCCTGAGGCCTCTGGGATTTTGCTTTCCTCGCGGAAGGCTTCTCGGCCAGGCGACTCGGAACTGATTTGGCGTCTCCTCGCCCAACCCTTCACCTCCAAGGACGTGAACAAGGCACTCAACGACACAGCATTTGACTACTCCGAGACGGTCGACGCGGCCTTCATCAGCTCGAATGCGAGTCGATCCGACAAGAACGGGTACTGCTGGATGCCCGGCGCAACAGATGCGGGCGAGTGGATCTCATATGCTGTCGGCGCCCGACCCGTGGAGCAGATCCAGTTGGTGACCACCTACTTGGAGGGCCAGTGGTTCCGCAAGGACGCGACGGGATATTTCGACCTTATCAACTGGCGTTCTAGGATTGTGAATGAAAGTGTCAACGTTGACGCCTTGAAGGAGAAGGTCAAGAACAAACTGGCATTCCAGACCATTCTAGCTTGCCCGATCTGGAAAGTAGGGCCAACAAAGGGAGAATGGGATAGGGTGGTCATCATGACCCGACCGCGCATGGCACCAATCACCTCCGTCAAAGATATCGACCGCGAGGAACTCTTGTGGCATTGGGAGACTATCATCGAGCTCAAATCGGGCCTAAAGTTTGTTGAGTCAGATGTGGCCTCGCTCAAGGTTGGCGCAGCCGATGACGCAAAGCGCCAGGCGGCACTCTTGACCGCGTCCTCAGCCGGTTAGTACCTGGTTCTTATTGTCCTTCTGCTATTACTGATAGTTAGTGGAATAGAAAAGTAGCGAGGATGCCGTTGCTTATCCCTCCGCCCCCTTCCTCCCTCCCCCCGTTCCTTTCTTTTCTTTTCTTTTTTCTTTTCTTTTTTTTTTTTTTTTTTTCCTTTTTTGAATATGGGACATTGTCTTACTTTTGTTACTTACCTACCTTACCTACCTTTAGGCGTAGTTCTCTCCACAGCGATCGGCTTATCAAGTGGCAACAACGCCGACACAACACCAAGGCAGCGAAATACAAACTTTCTGAATCAATTCTGGCATGGGAGTACACTACACAATTTTGCCGCCACCTTGGCGTGTCTCGCCGCCGCCGCAATGCTGCAAAATAAGTTTGGTGCCGCTGCCGCTGCTACGCCCATCATGGCTGCTCCAAGCTCGACAGGGTCTATCAAAGTGGGCTTTTGGCTCGATCTACCTGACATCCCTGACCTGGTCGAGGAGTGGTCCGCAATCATCCCCTTAGCTGTCTATCTCTCGAGCCCGAGGAGCGACTTTGAGCTGGCAGGGGAGGTGACACTCAGGGGTCACCTCTCGGTCAGCATCATCCCGAAGCTATGGGCGCTCGGCGGCATTGCCAAAATGTTGCGGCAGGGTGACGTGTTTTTCGACACAGCAAGCGGCGCAGGCGACCCGCTGAAAGTCTATGACGTTCAATGGGGCAGTGTCTTCCCTTGTTACAACAGTGCTGCCGCCCTTGCCCTCACCGATGTTGTGTTCGGCGGCCAGAAGAAAAAAGGCCCCGATATCACGCAGGAGCATCTCAACAGGTGGATCATGGAAAACCAAAACGAGTTGCTGCGCCGATTTACCCTTTACGACACGGGCGCGGGTCGAGCGCCAACAAGCGATGTATTTTGCGGAAGTAGCCTAGAGGGGCTCATCCAGCGCAAGAGGCTCTACGGGCGACGCCAGCATCTCAAAGTCGTTGTCGTGAGTTCGGTCGGCGTGAAATCCAAGAGGAGAAGGCAACTATTCCAACAACTGTTGAAAAGCATCTCTTGGCATGCGTTTGAGCTCGCGCTCTCGTTTTCCATGTCGGGGTTTTTGTTCAGTTGCGGCCTCATTGGGTCGGGGTCACTGCTAGCGATGGGAGCGCTGTCTCGGTTCTGTGCTCATACCATCAAGTTCGAGCGCAGTCCGCTGTATCTCCGGAACCGTGAGGTTCACGAGGGATGCATGTTGGCTTCTCTGCACGAAAACGCCACGTCGTGGACCTTCTACATCGGCCATCGGGGCATGATTGACTCGCTTCTCAACAAACCTATGGTTGAGCCGGGAAAAGCGCATCCCTTTGTTCTCTTCTACCTCCGCGTCGCCGAAGTCCTGCAGGTGTTGGGCATGACGTACGTTGCGGGACAGAAAGGCTGGGACGGTGTCATTTTCATGATCCTCGTATTCACCATATGGCTTGTTCGCGGTGCCTCAGGGAACGACAAACACGCGGCAAGATGGCTCGAAGAGGAAGGCTTCAAGGCCGTGGGCTTTACCTGCGAATTTCCAGGCCGAACAGAGCTCCTGGGGGCCGTGCAACTTCTCAGCACCGAACAAAAAACATATTGGATGGACGGCATTCTGGCGCCCGTCCCGAGACGAGAGATCTGGCTGAAGAAGATTGGCGCTCTCAACTCTGATGCTGCTGAGACGGAAAGGGAGTGTGCCTTGCTGGGTGAGCATGATAAGAACTGGGTGAATGCAACGGGAATGCAGTCTATTGCGGGCTACAGGTTGATCCAAGAGAAGTTGAAAAATATGGTGGGCCATGAAGAGCTAAGCTCGATTGCTCGACCTGAGATAATTGACCACTCTGCGCAGGGGAGAGAGAAGAGATAAGGCAGAGTGGGAATGATGGAAACACCGGGTGGCCACTTTAATCTGTTAGGCGTTCAGTTTCGAATTATTGCCCTTCGTTTCCCTGCCCAACATGGAACGAATCTCGATCGTCGAACCCGGCCGAATCCCAAGCGTCATCACAAGCCAGATCCGGGCATCGCCGACCATCAGGGTTCTCCCCAATGAACCGATCCAACCACCAAGCCACATCTTCATTCGTCACCCCCTCTGCCAGTTTCAGCCAGTGCTGATTTACGGCCCCAGTATCATTCACCCACTCATTGCTGCCGTCCTCCCCCACCCAGTTATATCCCTTGTCATTCGCGAATTCAAATAACTTCCCCATGCCCAACTCTCCACATCCCTCGATCCCGCATATCCCGTAAAGCGTGGTAATCGGGTCCCAAGATTCTCTCAAGGTGCTACATCGGCCGACATACCACTGATAAGCCGCGAGCACAGGCGACCTGGTCGGTGCATTCGAGTCTGTGAGCCTCCCGCCCGAGAAGATGTCTTTGCCCAGCTCAAATCCAATATATGTTACAGGGACTTGACGTGGCCAGTTGTTGATAGCTTTGTGTGCTGAAGCAGGATCCACGCCGCCAAAGTTGAACTCACGGCCTGAGGGATACTGGCCTCCCATGACGACCAGTTCTTTTACCTTGGCGGAAATAAGGCTGCGACTGTCTGGACCGTCGTCTTCCAGCAGAGCGGCAAGGTTGGTTAGGAACCCTATCGAGATGATGGTGACGCTTTTGTCGTCTGCTGCTGACAGGATAGAGCGGTAAAGCTGGACCGGGGTTGGGGTTGCCGAGGAGTCATTGAGCTGCCGGGGCCAATGCTGCGCTATTTTTGCAGCATATTCACCACGGCTGCGGGGCAAAGAACGATTAACATTGAGCAGAAAACAAAAGATAATTGATAGCTGTGGTTTGCGAGGTCTTACAGGAAATTATATGTATCAAAAAATGTCTCGTTTGTCAACGGTCGAATGGCGCCGATCGAGATGTTTCCGTTGCCGAAGTACGTGTTGACAACGCTGGCGGCTAATGCTCCGTACTGAGAGTGCGAATTGATGACAACGCCAAGGAGATCCGCCACTCCGTAGTTCTGGAGAACATTGGCGATCGCCAAAGACCCAACATCGTCGACATCGGAGAAGAGATCAGTGTCGATGATGATAGGTTTCCGATTGCAGCCGCTTGCCAGCACGCTCTCTAACCCGATCGCTAGAAAACTCCAGAGTAACAAAATGTTTTGGCCCCAATTGATTAACATCTTGAAGGCAAGGGATGAAGATAGATAGGGAGAGGGTGAAGCAACAACAAAAACAGGCAACAATGTATTAGGCATACCACGCTAACGTTGGAAGTGAGGTCCAGCGCTTCCGTACCTCACGTGACCCTACCACAAAGTGGGGATTAACAAGTGATTTGTTTGTCTCTTTGTTTACCCACCCATGCGTGCCATGCCACAATATCTCGGGTGCCCCTGGCCTTTGTCGAACAAGGATGTCCTTTGGATGGATGGATGGAATTTATTTCGCCCGGAGGCACTGGGCCTATCGGGCCTTAGCACGCTAACTACATCCGGATCAAATCGTTTTGCCTTTAACTCGTACAAGCCCCCTACTTCTTCCCTCTTTCTCGCTGCACCATTTACCTCTTGCCTTGGTTGTTGTTAGCAGATCAGCTTGGAGGCTACTTTCTCCAAGTGTTCAGCGTCCTATCTTCAGCAGCTAAAGCGGGACCTGCTGGTTAAGGCTCGTGGTCGAGGCTCGTGGTGTTGAGTGTCGGCTTCTTCTGCTGTGACTGGTCTAGACTCTCCTCCTCATTCAGTCCAGCCTTCCTGTTGCCATTGCGTATTTGATCGTCGCCCGGACTGCCTTCATATCTGGTGACCAATGTCTTGTATCCGATGGCGCTTTCCCTCCCAGATAGAACGAGAGGCTTCCTCGTCTTGCCACTGTGCATTGCAGCATGTCTTCCCTCAGAGCTGTCCATCTCACGCATCGGAAAAGAAAGTGTTCCACTGATTCCCTCGCTTGTCCACAGGCACAAAGGTCTGACTCGACCGCCCCAATCCTGCTCAAAAAGCCGTTCAGTCTCGCCATTCCGGTTCGGAGCTGCGCCAATACGCAGGCCTCCCTTCGCTTCAGCTTGTCATAGAGATCGCGCGTGTGCTTGCCTGGTAGTGCTGCGTCCATGGCCTTTGAGAACTTGCCCACGCTTACAGGTGTAACTCTTGTCGCCCGTTGTCTTTCCATTGCCAGCCTCATCGCGGTAGACTTGGCCTGGGGTATTTGGGAGTCGGGTGTGCCTCACGAAGCTGATGGTATCTGACGGGCCGTTTTTAACATTGCAGGAGCTGGGACCCAGACCACTCGTGCGTCGCGTTAGCGTATTGACTCGAAGCGTCACTTTACGGGGAAATATAAAGCGCGCCAGAGGCAATGGCCTTTGGCTGAACCAGCAACCAACGAACCATCCATCCGGGCAACCAAAACAACAACATCAACGAGCACGATACCGCCATATCATGACCAAGTGAAGCGAAGTGCAAGAACAAATCAAGTCAACAACCGCCGCTCTAATAGGGTTTCGTCACACAAAAACGCCCGCGTCTGTCTGTTTGTCTGTCTGTCATGTCATGCAACACCCGCCCAACTCCCCGACCGCACCGACCGCCGACCCCGACCGTAGCGTCCGCCCCCGGTGTTCATAATCCAAACAAGGGAAAAGGCCGGCCTGGCCTCCCGTATGTGAGCGTGAAAAAAATCAGCCCGCCGCCCTCCGGCTTCTGCGTTCTAGCCCCCGCCGCGCGCTGGTACATCATCACCGCCAACCCCCGTCACCAACCGCTGGTCCATCCGAATTACCCATATCCCCCATCCCGTGCCACCTCATCCCGCCTAACCAGCCCAGCCCAGTCAATCCGAGCGGGGCGCCGTCCGCTGCGAAACCACCTCGCGCGCGTAGAACTCGACCAGCATGGTGGCATAGGCCTCGAGGTCCTCGACGGGCACAGCCAGGCGGAAATCGTTTAGAAGAAGGAACTGCAGCTCTAGGTGGTTCAGTTCCGGTAAGGGGAGGCCGCCAACCTGAGTTATAGCGTTAGCACCGTACCGTAGCGTAGGCATCGCAGCAGAAAAAAAAAAGACATACCTTTGCGTAGCGCGAGTTGGTGTAAAAAACGTCGGAGAAGAATTTGCTGGCGCAGGTGACGCCCGCGATGATGAGGCGGTGGATGTTAAAGCTGTCAACGACAAAATAGGTGGCCTGCTGCGGCTGTGCTGCTGCTCCCGCAGGGGTGGTGACGGGGTTGGCGGCGGATGGTCTCCTCCCCGCCGCCGCTGCACTGGTCGGGACCTCGTCTCCGTCTGTCGAATCGGCCAACTCCGAGTCCGTCTCGGTCGCGTCGCTCGAGTCCTCGTCGTCGTCGTCGTGGTCGCGCATCACCGTGTCCTTATCGGCGTCGGTGGATACCCGCGGCTGTTGTAGTGGGGGCGGCTGCGGCTGCTGTGTCTCAAGCTGCGAGCGCCGCCCTTCCTCGCTCTTCATGACCATGTCGTTCACGCGCTCCGTCATGCGGTCAAAGTACACCAGTAGGCTGAGAAAGACCTCGTATGTCGTCGGGCAATACTTGTGGATGCGGCTGAGGTAGCTCAGAATCGTAATGGCGGGCACATTTTTGCCGTGGAAGGCCAGCACACTACTACTGAGCGGCGTCATGCTGCCGTCACCGGCCCCTTCCTCGCCCCTTGCCTGCGCCTGGGCCTGCCGGAGGTGGTGCGCGTTGCGGTTGAGGGCGTCGTGCTGGAGGTCGTTGGTGGTGGTGATCTTGGTCAGCAGCGCAGCGACCATCTCAATGATGTCCCCGATGGGCATTCCGCTGATCTCGTACTTCATCTGCTGTAGTGGGGGGTCGTTTACAAGGCCCGGCCCCGTGCCGTTGAGCATGTCCGCTCTTGCCAAGCTCTGTATATGCGCGAGGTCGCGGACTCGGACCGTGGTCTGCGTCTGTATCGGTGATTCAGGAGGATTGTCGAGGGTTGGGGGGATGGATGCAGAACCGGCCGTCTCAAGGTGTGTCGAGTTCCAGCGTGGACCGCTGTCGGAGTCGGGGGAGGGGATGGACCTCGAAGGCGGCGCTATTACCGTTGGGGCGGTACTCGCCGACGAGGCGCTCGAGTTGGAAGCCGAAAACGACCCGGGGGTTGGGTCCTGGACGCCATCTCGAGGTATCTCGTGTTGTGGTTGCGTGCCGGCGGAGGATGGTTGGGACGACGACGACGAGGGTGGCGGCGAGGGTAGCCGGGCGTCTGGTTGCCTTGCGGTACTCTTCTCCTGTGCTTGTTCGTCCCTGCAGCGCCGACTTGGTGTGCGGTTTGGCGCGCTTGGTAATGAGGTTGAAGGTCTCCGTGGGCTCTCGGTCGGGCGTGACGTATGGTGGGGCTGGGCTTCGCGATCGCGGGATCGGCTCGCAGACCGGCTCTGATAATGGATGTCGTGGGTATGGCCGCCAATCATACCATGGAAGCGTGATGGAGAATCAGCAAAAACGTCCCCTATGATGGTAGCCATGCTGTTGCGGCGGTCGGGCTCCGTGGGGTTTTGCCGACGAAGGGATAATGTATCGGGCGGCGGGAGGTCGAGGCCAAGGCGGGAAGGTGGCTGTGTTGCAAATAGCGGAGAATTAGCACGGGTTTTTCTGGCTGGCAAAATAATACTGGGTCCAGGGCGAGAAAGAGCCGGGACTGCTCCGGTGCATTCGGCGACGCGAACTCGGCAACAGGCCGCATGAAGATATGAGATACGGGTCAAGCTGAGAGATAGCAAACGGTCGCCGGCGTGCTCCGAGACGAAACAAGGTAGTGGGAAAAAGGCAGGGTAAACGAGGGAGTGCGGCAGCGTTGGCTGCGAGCGGCACTACGCGCGGCGTGCTCAAAATGCTGTCATTGGTGACATGCGCCAGAACCACCAAGGAAGCAAATGGCAAGCCCCCTGAGACAGTTTCGTCGCTTCGCAGACTAGCCAGGCGGCGCAGGAATGCGCGGTTGGGTTGGCGGTGATGGTGTCTCGGCTCGCAAACGGTGGTTGGATTTGCCCGGGAAGTGACGCCACCGAAGCCGGCACAGCGAACACAAGACCACAAAGGCGGTTTAACAGCAAACAAAACTGAGGCCGAGTCCGGCATGGAAGTTGGCCAACGGGGTCACCGGGCAACTATGAGATGAACCACAAATGAGGAAATATGACGACAACTTACACAAGAAAATAGGTAGTATTACTCTCCTAAGAATTTAGGGGGCCGAATTCTATGTCAACTTCAAAAGAATCGGGGCGTTATATCGAGCTTGCGTGAGGCAAGGGCGACGATCAGGAAGGGGCGAATCGTGGAACCTGAAACAGATGTCGATGGATGACGCACGATCGGGCCACAACGCCGTCGCGGGCGGCAAGAGATGGGACTAAGAAGGCAGTTCGATCCGGATGAAAAGGTTGATACAATCACCCGCCCAGCGACAAAATCTGGGAGAGGATCCGAAACCGATGAAGGTGGTGATGGTGATATTCTTGTAGAATGAGGGCGGATGAAGCAATGCCAAGGAGTGGCCGCAGGGCTGGAGGTCGAGTTCGACAACCGAGCGATAATGTTGCGAACGACGCGCACTCTCCGGTCCAGCCCAGGGCAGATTCAAACGGAGAAGCCAAAGGCGAAAAAGGAGCCAAAGGGAAGCAAAGGTACAAAATGACCAAAATCAAGGTCGAGATTCGAAAAGAAATAACTACGGCGTGGCCGAGCTGAAAGCAGGCCTGCGATAACGCCTGGTCCGTTCAGTGGAACTGCACAGACGACGACACCGAGGACACTCTCTGCCCCTTGTCGCTCAGCGCAGTGTGTCCCGGCCCCGCCACGTGTGGGTAAGTCGAACAGGGGGTGGCCCACGCTCAGGGCCTGGCCTTGCCGCCTGGGGCTTGGAAGGAGCCGCGGGCTTGCCACTGCGAATGAGATGAAAAATGCAACTAAGGAACCTGGAACGGCCCGCTTTCTTGATAGATTGGATCCGGCCTTTGTGCCTTGCCTCTTTGATTCTCGTCCGAAGATATCTGGTATACCAAACTTTAGACAAACCCATAAATGCCGCTCAGGTTCTCATACTAGAAGTTCGGGCGATTGCACGCCGGCACTGATAACAGAAAGTGGAGTGGTGATTGGGGAAAGAGGACCCACCGCAACCAGCGCGGTTGTTCTTCCCCCACTTCAGCTCATCAGTGGGGTTCCAGCCGCGAGCATCCACACCCATCGCGCTTCAGAGCACGGCATCGCGCGGCTCGTCCGTACTGGATGAGGTGACGGGCTCCTATAATAAGGTCATTTATTCTCGGTATCCTGAACCATCTCGCCTCGACCCATCGGCCATAGGGGTAATTTCGCCAATAGATCCCAGGGTCGGTAACTTCGGGAAGCCGCGTTTGTTTGTTGCCTTGCGTCTTTCTCATGCAAGAAGCAAGGCCCTTCCTGTCACCTGTGTCCTGTAGCTCCTGTAACTCCTCTCATGCCATGCAAAGGGAGTCGCGCGACCCATTTTGCGGCCTACGTAAGGAAGGCCCGCCCTGGGTCTCCTGCGCAAAAACCCGAAGACCGGCCAACAAGGGATTCGAGCCAAAGGCATCGAATTCCCTCCTCGAGTGCAGCCAATCTGAGGGCGCGAGGCGACCACGGGGGAGGGGTGACGGCGGGCGCGAGCGGGGGTTGGTCCCTCACCGACATTCTGCCCCTCCTTGGACGTGATGGATGAGATGCAGTTCCAGTCCTGCGGATGCAGCCAGTGCCTGGTTAGTTCGCCAACGTCACTTGAATCTGGCAGGGGCGGGTTGTAGATTCTGACAATACAACTTCCCCTGAACAATGAACAATAGAACACGCGCCAATTACTGTCGAACGTGGGTCTCGATGACAGCTTGGAGTCATCCACGTGCCATCTACAACCTTCACCGCATTGCAGTTTCGAGAATCAGAATTATGCCGCGGCCATTCAGCGTATCACGAGCAACTGGTGACACTTTCCAATGGCCATGACATCAGCGTGCAACACCATGACGGCTCACAAACTAGAGAGGCTAGCAGAGCGAATGTCGACCGGTTCTCCAGACTTCCAACACGTGCAACGCAAAGGCCGGCGATGGAATACTCTTGACGTTGCAGCAAGACTCAACCACCTCGGATCACGGGGAACCGCCGACATAAACCGTCCCAGGAACCTCCTATATTCTACACGCCCCTCAAAACTGATTACACTCCTACACTCCTTCATACGCACACTCGCCCTTACACCGACCGCGCGATCAAACCCGTGCTCTGCCATCCATCCTTACACCACCATCCCCATGCTTTCTCGACACCAGTCCCGAGGATAGGAGCATCCCGAAATCAAGGGTGGACATAGCCAGACAGATACCCCGGAACAGCTGACATCAAGACCCGAACTACGCGGCCGTTACTGCCTTGGACTGGGCATCACCAAACACGCCCGTTCTCTATCAATCACAATCCTTATTGAGTAATTAACAGGGATGGCTTGGTATTGCATCGCTGAGGGCAGGGGGTAAATTGCTGCGGGTTCCATATGATAACCGAACAGGCGTGCAGCGCAAGCACTCGCAAGGGGAGACCCAAGGCCGGTGATGGTTTTTATAACCGACGTAAACAAGGCCGGCCCGAGAAATCACTGGATTCCCATAAAGCATAAGAAAATGGGTTCCTTAACTCGGGCACGCCTCTGCGGCGAACATGGAAAGGGCGACACCTCAATGTCGGTGAGGATGCGGCTGTACTTCATGGCCCAAGACTTTGGATTGTCCCTCCCGTATCCCATGCTGTAACATGTGCACTCACAACTCCAGGAGAAGTATTGTGGACCCGAACGGATGATATTGTTGTTGTACAACGCCCAGCCGCGTGGCCTAGGCTCGTCATGTACCGTTCCCCCAACCAACCCCCCAACTACCGCCCCCCAATCATTACTCATGCCGCACCCTGTAATCCGTGTCCGGCAAGTACAGGTGCCTATCAGCGCCCTTGGCAGTCAACACAACCATGCGGATGACACCACCAGAACTGCCGTCCCACTTGATGGCCTCCTTGAGGGCGTCCTTGACGAAGCTGACGGCGTCGGCCTCCTCCATGCCCTCGCGCCAGTTGGCGTCGCAGAACCCGTAGATGTACGTCGAGCCCGACCCGCCGATCGAGTACGGCTGCTTGTGCAGCGACCCGCCCAGCGGGATGCTGTACACCTGCCCGCCGTGGCGCTCGTCCCAGCCCGCGATGATCAGGCCGGCCCTAGTGTCAGTGGTGTCAGCTCCCGTCCCATACAAACCACACCCGGTCCTTATCCCCCATCCCCATCCCCGATCCCCTCCTCATAGCCATGTATGTGTATGTGTGGTGTGGTACTCACGACAACCGGTCCTTGTTGGCGTAACAGAGCTCCTGGAAGATGGCGGCGGCGGTCTGGGTGGTCGGGGGCTTGCCGTTGGTCATGGCGAAGAGCTCGAGCTGGTACTTGACGATATCGGCGACGGCTTGAGTGTCGGCGGCGGAGCCCGAGCGGCAGCACCAGATGGTGTCGTGTACCTGGGTCAGCTTGTCGGTCACGCGGTTCGCGATGTAGGCGCCCGTTGTTGTGCGCGAGTCCGCCCCGAGGATCACGCCGTCTTTGAATGTCACCGCCATGCTGTGTCGTTTGCGTCAGGGTGCGCTGGGTTGGGTTTGTGGCGCCGGCGGGGTCCGACTTACATCGAGGTACCTAGGCTGGGGAGGGGTTAGAAGAGTGTTGTGAGAGGGGGGACGGTTTGCGGTGAGCATGGCTTACTTGACCTCACCCTTCTTCAATCGGTCCATGTCGAGATGGATGCCATCTATACCCAGTAACGGTTAGTGCACCGACGAGACATCAAGGTAGATGGATGGCGGGGGTTGCATGCCTTCCCTCAGCGAGCCCGAGTTGCCGAACTCCATGGTTTATATGGTGATGTGTATTGTGGGTGGTGTTGTCGGCCGTGGAGGGAGGATTCGTGGTCGCGGGTTATTCTGGGGGTCGCAGTTCTGGGGATCGTAGGGTATGGTGGGTTGTCGTTGTTGGGAAGCTCCAAGCTCCATCCAGCTCAAGGCAGCTCCGACACGCGCGTGCGCCTTGCCAGGCTGAGGCGCATCACGTGAGAGCTGACGCCCCGCGGTCTTATCTTATCGCGGTTTGGATCGAGGCAAGGGAGAGTCGAAGATAAAACGGATGGTTTATTTTGAAATGCAATTGAACAAACAAGTTGGGAGTAAAGTACCTCTTCAATTATGAGAACCGTAGGAGCACCTGCCTAAAATACCATAGTCAAAAATCTCCATCAGTCAGGGAGCGAAGCGGCCTTCCCGGGGCTGGCATACACCTGTGAAGCCAAGCCCCACAAAAATGGTCAAGGTGCCCCCAGATACGAAGTACTTCGTACAGAATACCCAATATCAAATCCTAAGAACACCCAAACGCCATCCCGTCTATGCAATATCTTTCACCCCAGCCCTCTCTACACAACACCCTTTCACCCACCTCTCGTCAGGCCCTCCTCCTTCTCCACCGTAACCCCCTCCCTCCCCTTCAACTCATCCCCCTTCTTCGCCTCACCCCCCTCATCCACACCCACACTCTTACCCTCTCCCTCTCCCTTCTTCTCCCCCTCCCCCTTCTCCTCCCCCTTCTTCTCATCCCCACACCCACAATCATAAAAGTCCCCAATCTTACTACAATCAAACACCTCTTTCTTCAGCCGCTTATTCACCTCATTATGCACAAAGCACGCCCACCCGGCCGCCGCGTTGCGCCCGCTCGTCTGCGGCGGGTACTTGCGCAGCAGCTTCTGGAAGTGCGCCGCGCACTCCCCGCACGGGTACAGCCGCGCGAACAGCTGCATGTACGTCTTGAGCGCCAGGCTGTCGTCCTCGCTGGGGGTTTCCGGGAAGCGTGCCATCATGGTGTGCAGCAGTTTCCAGGCTGCGCGGCCGAGTTCGGCTCTGGGGGGAGGGGGGAGCGGGTTAGTTAGGTTGTGTTGGGTGTGTTTGTGTGTTGGGAGTGGTAGCGAGGGGAGGGAGAGGGGTTGCGACTTACTTGGCCGTGGCATTCCCTAGTTTTGGCGCGATGGAGCCGCCCTGGAGGATGCGGTCGGAGATGTCGCCGGCCGAGAAGCTGTCGCCGGCTGGGAGGCTGTCGCGTGCGCTGTCGTCGGGGGCTCCAGGGGAGAATGTGTCGTCGAGCTTCGTGGTCGGGGCGTACTCGGTGTTCGACTTGCCGGCCATAAAGTACGTCAGGCTCAGGAAGAGCATGACGGCCAGCAGCGTCAGCGTCAGGTGCTGTCGCCGCGCCATCGCCCGGTTTTCTGGTGGTGTCCTCGCGCAAGCCGCTAAATGACTGAACCGTAAATGTAAAGCAAAGTGGGTGTAGGGGCGCCGGTAAGATGCGCCAAAAAGCTATCAGCAAGCCAAGAAAATAATTGCAAAGGAATGACTGCACGCGACAGCGACAAAGAAAGTTGCGAAGCCCAAAATAAGTGGTATGAGGGTCGGATGTTCTGCGTGGTGGCCAAGGGCAGGGGTTTGCGGCAGCTCGGCAGGGGCTGGTGGGGTGCGTCTTTCGGCAGGCAATTCGAGGTCTGGGTCCGCAGATCAGACCTGCAGGGGGGTTGACTTTGCGCCGTCAGCTGGGGACATGAACCCTTGAGGGCCTTGGATTCGGGTGCTGTCAGATTTCAACCGAGTTCATCTCGAGTCCTTGATCAGGACCTAATTTCAACAACACTGATGTCAAGTAGCCAGTGTCGCAAAAATGCATTTCTTCCTTCTCCTCGCTTGTTTCTCTGTCCACTCCATGATGAGTAGCCCCTGAGTGGCTGAGCTGCTTGGTAAAATGACTGTGGATATCGACTTTTCAAATTCCCATTCTCATTTAACCCTTTGCGTTTTGAATCGGCGGTCAACTGTGCAAGTCTTTGCAATTGTTTCTTTTTAACAAGTTCCAACGCCCCTATCTTGATTTGGTTTGATGTTACCCAATCCTCGCTGTCTCAACCCGAGACAGAACCCGCCACGCTCACCAGGAATCAAGGTGAGACAAGCAAAAGGTTATGTTGTGCTAAAAACGATAACTACTGACATTGAACTAGTTATGATTAAAACTAATAACAAACCCAAACTTCATTGCATAAAAACGGCGACATATAATCCCACCACCAGCCAACACTCCAACCAAACCAACCCTCAACCCCTATTACTCACTTCCACAACCCCCCAACAACCCCCTTCACCTTCCCGACCCCCTCCCCCACCCCCTCAACAACGCCACCCGCACCCCCCGCAGCCGCCTCACCCGCGCCAGTCACTTCCCGCGGCACATAGCCACCGCTCTCGTCCTTGCCCTGCCTCTCGGCACGGTTGATGCCCTCGCGCGAGATGGTGTCGCCGATGGGGCGCGCCAGCCCGTCCTGTCCGACCTGGTTGGCGACCAGGTCGTTGACGCCGTCTTGGAGGGCGTTGGCTTGCGGGTTGGAGGTGAGTTTGGTTTTGGCGAGGTTTTCTGGGTGGGGTGTTAGGCAATGTTGAGTTGGGGGGATGGGAGGGAATAGGGGTCAGGGAAGGGGAGAGAGAATGGGAGGGGATGGAGGATGAGAGTGGGTGGAGAGTGGACGAACCCCGTGTCGTGTAGCTCGCCTTGTTGTCGCGGGTGAAGTAGCGCAGGTAGATGTCCTCTAACCAGGGGACCCAGCTCTCATATTGCTTGTTGTATTGGTCTTTAGCCCACTCCATGGTGTTTAACTATGTGTCTCACGATAACTAGTACAAGAGGTGAATGAATTGTGGCACCGCTTCTAAATATCTGCTGACTGGAAACAGACTAAAAGTAGGATGAATGATGGATTCAGATTCAATATTGCCTTCACTCTACGGATATGGCTCTCATTTATTCTCGGCCCAACCATGATGCAAGCTTCTGCATGAACTCGCCAACAGGGACCTTGTGGTGGTGTGGCTGTTCAGGGTGGGTGGCGGAAATACGACGTCATGGTCTGGTGTAAGTCCAAGTTCCCAGTTTTGGACGGATAGGGGTTGTCCAGCCTATGAGATGGTCGTCCCGCAAGAAGCCACAGCCTTGTGTCTAACATGTGCATGGCAAGGGTAGTCGAGCTTCAGGTTACCCTTATGAGATGATGTAACGTGCCAATGTAAAAATTGAACAAGTGTTGTTTTGCGTGTTGGCGCAGCAGTTTTAGTCTAATTATTTCGGGCATGCTCAATGTTCTCGATGCCAAGAACTACGTGTACCCATAAAGGTTCCGTCTCTACGAACTCGCCGTTCTGCGGATATGGAACTGGCTTCTTTAAACAACGACGAATATAGGAGCCGTTGTTGTCGCGGGAAACTGGGAGAACTTGAATCTGGACCTGCTATTTGTGTTAAACGATTTTGATCGAGGTCGATACGAGTTAGTTATTTGGATTTGGTAAAGTAATTAACAGGGATGACTCAGCCGCGCTTCGTTTGTGTTATTGAAGACGTTCCCCGAGAGCTAAAACTATACCAACATAATAACGTTGAAGCGGCGTATGGTATGGGTTCATTCTTTACTCTTTCGTCCCCTTGGCCCTGTTCCCGATTTCCCTATGTCCTTAAACGTGATCCCAAGGGACGAACACCAAAGCTTTGCAGCCCCCAAATCCAAGGACTTGTTCTTAGCCAACCAGACGCGCCTGTGCCCCTCGTCTTGCAGTAATCCAACACCCGCCCGTTAGTTCCCTTCAGCCCTCTTCCACTTTCCTCAAGAAATAAACACCAACTTCAGCAGCACCCGGCTCGCAACTCCACCCATCATGCCCGAAACCCCCCGAAAAAGCCTCGACGAAAGCCGCGAGGACGACGACAGTCCCACAAATCCAGCCTCCTCCCTCACCACCCTCCTCCACACCACCAGCACCCTCCTCTCCTGCATGCGCCACCCGACGCCGCCACCGGCCGCGAACTCTACAACTTCTTCGGCGGGCGTGTCACGGACATGGCTGGATGGATGGATGGAATTTATTTCGCCGGGAGGCACTGGGCCTATAGGGCCTTAGCACGCTAACTACATCCGGATCAAATCGGTTTGCCTTTAACTCGTACAAGCCCCCTACTTCTTCCCTCTTTCTCGCTGCACCATTTACCTCTTCACGGACATGGCCACATGCAGTGGCCGAGCGGGGCCGCGCCGGGAGCGGTCCAAGCCAATCATTAAGAATGGGGCATCAGCCAATCAGAAACGGATCGTTCGAGTAAATACACGATCCAGGGATCCTGTAAGGGATAAGGCGATCCGGTATGGATCGCCTGAATGATAAGACCATCCAGGGAACACAGGTACGGAGGTACCTGTAGACTTGGATAGTATATAGTCATTCGTTCTGGAGGACTCTGGGAGTTCTCCAGTTAGCAATCACAACTACAGTTCGCTACAAGCTCGGAAGCCTACTGTTGAGACAAGTCTTTGTTGTGCACCTTTTGGCTGCACCGAACCTAAGCACCCTTGAGAGATTACCTTCAACCGAAGCTGAACCCTAACAGGACCGGGTCCAGAAGTAGGTTCGTCACAGGGCGCGTCCTCGAGCACACCACCGCCGACGGCGCCATCCTCGCCATCAAAGTCAACACCGTCACCGACCGCTCCGAGCCCGCCATGATGCACTACGCCGCCACCCACGGCGTCCGCACGCCCCGCGTCCGCGGCGTCTACGACGTCGTCGCACACACCCGCCGGCTGGCGCGCGCGATGGTCAGTGAGCGTGTCCCCGGGGTGCCGCTGGCGGAGGTGTGGTTGGGGATGGGGGAGGTGGAGAGGGAAGTGGTGAAGGAGCAGTTGAGGGGGCAGTTGGTGGCGATGCGGGCGTGTAGGGAGGGGTTTATTGGCGGGGTGGGTGGGGAGAAGGTGCGGAATGTGTATGATAGGATGAGGGACTTGTACTGTGGGCCGTTTGAGGGCGAGGAGGCGTTTGATGAGTGGTGCTTGGGTCGGATTCTGGGGGGGCCGCTTGTGCGTGCCAAGTGGAGGTTGTTGTTGAGGAATGAACGGCGGGAGAGAAGGGGGGCGGGAGTCGGGGTTTGTACTGACACATGGGGACATGACGCCGAGGAATATTATGGTGCAGGGGAATGTGGTGACGGGGATTGTGGACTGGGAAAGGAGCGGGTTCTTCCCGGAGTATGCTGAATATGCGTTTGCGATGGTTCTGTGTCATGCACACGAGGAGTGGTGGATTCCTGTGCTGAAGGAGCTGTTGCCGCCTTGTTCGAAACGAAGACTTGAGTTTACAGCCTTGGTCGAGGAGGGAGTGGTGAATTCGTGATTAAAGCTTGATTCAACACTGGCGTACAGGGCTTAACTGCCTAGCTAAAGTAGTTCCCCCATTCCTCCACTCTCTAATCTTGATAATATGCAGACCAGCTCGACAGACACTACATGTACTCACATACATTGGGGAGAACCATTAGCAATGCGGAAAGGCTTTCGTCTTTACATTCCCGGAAAACAAATAAGCGGCCCAATCGAACTCAAAAGGAAAGCTGGCCATCGGTCCCTCATAAACTTGGTAACGTTGGTGACCGTCATGCTGTGCTGCCGCACATCGTTGACAGCGTCCCCGGCAACAAAATCAGGAGACCGGCGGTGCAGCTCCTCGACCAGATCAAAGCAAAAGTGCTGGCAGTGGTTACATTTCCGCCATTGCCCCAGAACTATGTACATGTCACACCCGGCCAAGAACCATTTAGACCATGATACCGGGAAGCCCCCAAACCAAAGGGTTGAAACATGGCGTTGGCCTGTGTTGGCCAGCTTCAGGAGTTCGTGACTGGAACGTTCACTGCGGCAAATTCCAGCTTTGGAAACGACCACAGGGTTTAAACATGCTGCCTTGGAACCAAAACGAGCAAAATCTAGCCCCCAAACTGACTTCTGAGCGGCGCCCACCTGAACTAGCCGCCCCCAGCAGAACCAATGCGGCGTTGCCAGGCGGGCTCCCCGATGATGTCGAAATGATCGTAGCAGCGTTTCATCTCGGGATGGCCGTGCCACCCACCGAGGTAAAATAGTCCAAGCTTGGTTAGGGATGCATGGCAAACTGGTGTCACGACAGGCGGCCACGGACTTGAGCTGTGAGCAGCGCGCTGATGACCGTGGCTGTATTGTCTTTTTGGCCGCCGCACTCGCCGCGAAGTCACCGAGACTGGCCAACGGAATCAGACACGGGCTTCTTTGAGGAGGACGAGAATGAACAAGGAGGAAAGCCGACTTCTTCCGTTGTATGTATCATGCTGAGTCATTGCCGTCCATTTTCACGAGGTATATTTGGCTGAGCATTCAGGTTGTCAATGTTCGTTTCTCGGCAGACGAGAACAGAAGTGGAGTACATAGGTACCTATCCGTACATGTAGATGTTTTGATCCCTACACTTCCCAACCCCAAGCTGGCTGCCTTGTCATGGCATTACAAATTCCTACAATCTACCCGTGACCTCTTCCTCCCCTTCAATTCCCGTCATCTACCTACAGTAACCACATACTCGAGATGTCGCCTCTTCGAAGCCTCTTATAGAGTTCCTCGTGGGCTCCGATGGTAATCTCGCCGTGATATAGCTTGTCTGCCTCGATAATCAACTCAAGCAGCTTGAGAGCTTCCTCAAGGTCGGACTCGAGCCGCTTCAGCTTATACTTCGCGATGGCGATATCGAGCGCTCCTAGGCATCTGAAAATAGTCAGCGTACTGGCAAGTCCAAGTGAGACTGGGCGGCTACATACGACTCGCGAGAGAATACCCGTAGTGAATGATGCTCACTGAGCATCTCGATCTGTCTCTTGGCTCTGTCTGCCGCTTGCTTGAGCGCCCCGTATGACGATCTCTCAGCATCCTTCAACCGGCCTTCCTTGTTCATGTAGCAGGCGGACTCCGTGTAGAGTTGAAGAAGAGCCTTAAGGCGCCGTTCGTGAGAGTCACTGAATGGATTTTTGGGATCGCATGCTGGACACTGGCAGGTGAAACCCCAGCCTTTAGAGAGCTGTTGCAGCCGGGTCGCGCGAGGCACGACTCGCAAGATGTAGGAGGAGGTGATTTCCTCGCCAGCATTAATATCCCGGTTGGCGCGCATCACCATATAGCTGGTGTCGTCTTTAGATGCGGGATCGGCGTTCGGGATACAAGAGTGGTTGAGGCGGGAGGCATTCAGGTACAGCAGCACACTTGCTGAGTCAATGTTATGGGGCACGGCATTGAAGGCGTTTTCAGCGATGATATCTTCCAGGCGAAAGAGCTCGATGAGGGCCTTCTCGCAGTCTTCATCCCCCCCTTGCTGCGCGGTGAGCTCTTTGATTACCGCGCTGAAATCATGCACGCCGGAGCCCACTGAAAGTTCCAGGATTTTCTGTCGTGTTGCAGTTGGGAGCATAGTGAACTTGTGGTGTAAGTCCGCCAGCTCTTCGCCTCTCTCGGCTCGGAAAACGAGGGGATCGCGCATGATGACAGCATCGCGAGGTATGTTCTTAGTAGCAAAGACCCCTAAGCCTTTGCCCGGCGAGCTGCGGATCTCGAAGGCAAGCGGAAAGTCTGAGAAAACATAATCATTAGCAAGTCGCGAGATTGTTGGGATGCTCGGTTGAAGCGGATGAGAGGATCCAGCAGAAACCACTTACGCGATTCCAGTTGTCCAACAGCGCTCTGTGCAAGCCTGCTCTGTGCTCGGAAGGTTGATTCCAGCCTCAGCATTGCCTTGAGCCAGGTCATGATTTCGAACTGTCGGATGCTTGACTTTGCCGATCGTAACTTTTGTTCCGGTAAATGGAGTAAAAAGTAAGAGAAGGCAAAAACATGGGAAGATTCAGTTTTCGCCAGATGAAAACAAAGTTCGGTAAGTCGCCTGGCTGATTTAGTGACTCTGAGATGAGTGTTTAGGGCAGCTTTTATTATCGTCCAGCCAATTAAAAATCTCTTCGATAAATTGTAAGGTGGTTATACAGTACGTTATTTACTCGCAAGTGGCCAATGTTCCCTGGGCACCAGATGAACACACCGGCTGCTACCAGAGTGTTTACATAATTACGATCTGAGTCCCTGCGTACCTCTGTTGTAGGTCAGGAAACCTTGAAGCCTCTTTTATGTGAAGTACTGACGCGATGTATGCAAAGTCCAGATATAATGACAGTAAAAAACCCCTTTCAAAAACCGGACGAACCCCGCATATCGAGACGATTGTCATAACTTCCATATCAAGGAAAAGTAAACAAACCTTTGGATCCAACCAACTCCGGCCAGTAAAGACTTGCCAGCCATGGTGTGACACAACCGTTATGGAGACTAACCATACATAAGGTAATCGATCGCTGAAAACGATCGTAAAGGGCAGTATCGCTTACTCATTAGAACACCGACATACCGCACAAACCACTCCATGACCCAACCCCGTCATCCATCAAAACACAGCAACACAGCAAATTACAGCACCACTCCAAAACCCAACACATTTATCTACACCCCCTCTCTAAACTACAGTACCTACTCTACTAATACGCCAAGCTCAAACTCAAGTTCAAATACAACAAACCAGCAGGCCCCAACAGGTCCGCCGCGGCAGTTCAAACAGTGGTATCCTTCTAGGCAATACATGTGCAAAAAATAATAATCAGAAGAAAAAGAAAAACCCCCAGCACAAAAGTAGCAAGCTCACAACAGCCAACAACAATCAACAAAATAAACACTCCCGTCTGGGTACACCAACAAGCAGCATGTGGGTATGCGCTACCGACCAATCCCACCGACCATCCACCACCAACCAACTCTGGGGGAAGAGGGAAGCCAAACCACAGTCCGGTTCTAACATCCCTTCATCACCCCGATTGATCTCAACAAGACCACCGCCCATCAATCGACCTCCTGACGGGCCAACAGGTATGATAACCTCGCTGCAGCAGGCCACTCCATCAAATGACCATCCCAATATTGCCGAGTCGACAGCAGGCTCCACCACCCACACCAGGACATCATCAACTCCCCTCGACAGCAGCCTTGATAGTCGCAGCAGGCTGCAGCTGCAACCCACTGCCACCCTCGCCGCCATCACCGCCCTCTTCCCCTTCCTCCCCCTCCTCATAAATCTTTTCCTCCACAATCTCCCCCGGGCCCTTCACAATAGGACTGAACGATTCGACCTCCATACAGAATTCATCATCCTCATCGACCTCGTCCATACCCATCACCATGTTTGAGCCCATCCCCGTCCCCATTCCCATTCCCATTCCAGCTCCGATTCCGCCACCCACTCCCCCCATACCCATACCCACCACCACCACTCATGCTACCACCACCACCAGCACTATTCATCCCCACACCCCCACCCAACCCCCCAAACACCGCCCCCTCCCCCTCCCCCTCCTCCTCATCCTCCTCCTGAATCGTAATCTCCCCACTCTTCCTTCCCAAGCCACTCGCACTCGCACTCCTCGAATGTCCCGACCCCACCCCCCCGCCACCCCGAACACCCACACACCTACCACCCACCCTAACATGCTCGCCATGCCCGCCCGTCAGACGCGACGTGGGCCCATTGAACAAATTACCTTTTCAAATGGACGATTAATCCACGACAACCTAAGCGCCGGCCCTCACCCTCCGCTTGACGGTTTGGGCTGATCTTGAGTCGGGCTAAGCTGAACAAGGAGTGATTCCTCCTTGCTATCATTATTTCTAGTCGAACTAGTAGGCCCTGAGCGCGCGTTGATCCTTTGCTCTATAGAAGGCTTAATAACGGGCCTTCCCGGGACCGGTGAAAAGTCCATAGCCACAAGCTAGGTACGATGCATTCGAGTGACCTGGCTATACTATAACGAGGAGATCTAAAGGGCTTTCGAATGGGGGTTGCTCGAGCCGCCCATTTCTAGTCCAGGCTTCCCGGCCAATT